CCTACGAGCGCAGCGCGTGTGAAACCTGGCAGGCTGCCCCTTGGACTTGCAGACCCCACTCTCCTCCGCGCGTGGGCGCTGTATCCTAGAGCGCTCAGCTCTCCAGCCCCTCAGGGGAGGCGTGTGTAAAGAAATAGACACATAGGTACAGGCTGTCCCAGCCTGGCAGCTTCGCAAACAGGCTAGAGTTAAAAGGCAGCTGTGTAAAACCAACTCTGGCGCTGCAGTCTAGGGTCAGCGATCAGGGTGGGGGAGATTTCACTCTCTGTGCTAAACCAGTTTAGCCCCTTCCCCAGTTCCACTTTAGTCGCCTCAGAGACACGTGCCGGAGGTTACCGGGCTATCAGACTGGAAGCAAAATGACCTTCTCTGAGGCATAAGTGCATCAGGGCACCAGGGGCCGCCCGGAACACCCTAGGTGATCCAAAGAGACTAATCTTTCCGCATTATGGGCTATATTAGTTGTGATCTCCTTAGGACCCAGGGCTACCGCACAGCCTCCCTGGGTCTCCAGGCTGCTGGGCGAAGTGTTCTCCATTGGGATGGCCCGAGCTGGGTGAGAGGTTGGAGCTGAGGGTCCAAGGAGGCGAGAGAAGCTCTGGCCCCTCAGGTCAGTGATGCCTAGTTCTCCCCAACTTGCTCCTACTTCTTGGACATCTCAGCTCTTAGCTCTCTCCAGGCCCAGTTTTTCCACCACCGAAAGCATTGACCTCAATGCAAATGACAGCGAGAGCCAACGGGCCCCTCCCAAGTGACCGGGTGCAGGAAGCGAGAGCAATGACGCAATGGGAGCTCGGTCAGTCCTCTGATTGGCTGGTCCTGGCCACTTTGGATTGGCCGCGCGGGATCGTGGGGACCCCCCTTCTGCTATCACTGCAATAAGAGCCCGGGTTTCTGCGGAGTAGACGCCCACAGCAGGTGTGTTTGTCCATTCCGGGTGGACCCGCTGCTGGCGCTGCCAAGAAACGCGCGTCGCCAGGTGAGGAACTCCCCACTCCACTCGTTCTAATAACCTGCCTCTCGGTTAGTGCATCCAGTTTGCTCTGCCTGCTTGCCTCTCCATGGCCATCTTGGCTTGACTTACAGCTGGATAGTCCTAGCCACCCTTTCTTCTGGGCTCGGGAGAACGGGCTGCTGGGGCTGTCTCCTGCATTTTCTCCTGATGAGAGCCAGTGAACCCCGAGCTTCGCCAGGGCTCTCCTGTGCGCCGGAAGCTCCACAAACCCAAGACGGCTGGGCTGCCGCCTCTGCGTTTGTCCGGGTCGCCGCTCAGGATCCAGCCTGAGTTTGGGTTGGAAGTACCCTGAGTGGTATGCATCCTTAGGGATTATTTTTGGTTCCTGGGAAGGCGGAGCCTTGAGCTTGTCTCATAGGCACCTTCAGCCCAAGGATGTTCATAGGGCAACCGACAGGGACCTGGGGCAATGGGATCCGCTGACCAGGGCAGTGGGCTCGCCTCTCGATGCTGGCGTCCAGCAGCACCTGCTGCTAATATACGGTCGAGCAAAGCGCCAGCTGTTCTAGCTGAGCCCGGAGGCAACTGTAACTAGCACCTTAAATTAAACTTTCCCCAAATCTAAACCTGCAGACAGAGAGATTGGCGCTCCTTTCCAACCTACCCATTTTGTCTTCCCTTCTCACGCTTTGGCTGGAAGCCCAGCAGAGAGGAAAGTGGTCCCAAATTTTTCTGTCCGGGAGAGGACAGACGCTGGTGTGCAGCAGGGTGGGTCTGCGGGTGGTCTATGCATCGACTAGGGCAAAAGGTGACAGAACATGCACACGTGTGTGTAGCTTTTTCCCACACACGAGTGCATGCTCTTGGTACCTTTTATTTTTTCTTCCACAAAGGAGAACCAGACTGGCCTCCCCTCCCCCACCTTCCCCTGCACACCTATTTCTGCTCCATTAAGTCATTCACTAGGAGCTCTGGTAGCATAGTGCCTAAGGCACTTGACTGCTAACCAGAAGGCTGGCGGTTCAAACCCACCAGTAGCTCTTGGGAAGGAAGGTTTGGCAATCTACTTCCGTAGTGATACCGCCTCGGAAACCCAAGGAGGGGTCGCTATGAGTCAGGGCCGACTCAACAGCACTTAACAACAACAAGCCATTCACTCAAAATGTCTTCAGAGCATCAGAGCAGCCCATTCCTCAGATGAACACACAGAGGTTTGGGGAGGTGAGGTAACCTACCTGAGGTCACGCAGCAATTATTGGGGAGGCAGGACTAGAACCTAGGTCTGTGGGCTCGCAAGCAGTGCTTGGTCTCCGTGCAGTGGTAGGTAATGTCATTCTGTCTTTACAGAGAGGCACCATGGGCTTCCAGAAGTTCTCTTCCTACTTGGCTCTTAGCATCTTAGTCCTGTGCCAAGTGGGCAACCTCCAGGCAGCGCCATTCAGGTGAGAAGCCCTTCCAGGAATGCACTCCCTTCCCATTCATAATCCCCTCGGATTAGATAATTCCACTCTGAGATTAGTGTGGCACAAGCCTCTAGGTGAATCAGTACTCTGGGATGGACACTGGCCTCAGGCCCCGCCCACCTGGGAGTCAAGACAGCCACAGCTTTAGGGGAAGTCAGACCAGGAAGTGGTGGTTGCTTATCCAGGGGGAGGAGGCAGGCAGGGATCTCAGGGCCTGCCTTGGATTTGCTTCCACTGCCCAGGTCTGCCTTAGAGAGCCACCCAGATCCTGCCACACTCAGTGAAGAGGAAGCGCGCCTCCTGCTGGCTGCACTGATGAAGGACTTTGTGCAGATGAAGGCCAGTGAGCTGGAGCAGGAGACAGAGGGCTCTAGGTAAGGCTTCCACAGAGCACAAGGCCTTCCCTTGGTCCTGATATACCCAGGAAGACTGATCCCCAGAGGTAGGAGAGAACACACCTCATCAGAAGTCCAGCAGGAGTTCACCAGGCTCAGCTGTTCTCAGTCTCCACTGAATACAGAGGCCAGGTGCAGCTGGAGGGACTATGGTTAAACTATATATAAAAAGTTCCATTTCCGCAGGCTGTTAGGAAATTAATTGGGAGGTGTGGAATCACTTACTCTGGGAATTGGTCTGGCTGTACTGAGGAGACCTCCCAGCCCTGGAGGAGTTAGAACTGACTGGTAAGTGAGGCCAGGGGATGGACCCCTGTATCTCAGGAGCTTTTAGAAATTTGTCTCCACTTGGTTGACCCACATGCTGTTCTTTCACACCTGCAAGGAGCCTTCATTTCACATTTGCAAAGTGAAATGCCTTGCAGACATGAAGCCAGATAGAGCAGTGTCTAAGGTAGGTCTGGGTTCTTCAGATGTGTAGGATCTGCCTGCTCTCTGCTCTCTGCAGAGCATCTGTGGAGAGATGCATGTTGCCAAGAGAGAACACTCTTCCCCACCCCACCTCACGTGCTGAACTTGGAGCAGAGCCCTCCCCCTGACCTGGCCTCAGTACTGCCCAGAAGAGGCATGCATTGCACCTGCATCTGCCATGAGAACCCCCTCTGCAGAGCATGAAGGCTGAGCAGCATGTGGAATGCAGGGAGAGGGCACCCCTTCCCCACCCCAGGCCTTCACACTTCCATGTCCCAGTGGACCTTTGAGTCTCCTGAAGGAGGATGTGTGAGCTCCCCACCTGCCTGTCCCTCCTGCCCCTGCTTGAGGTGCCTCCCCCCACTGGTCTAACCAGTGTCACTTCCCACGGGGGCAAAGCCTGGTGCATGGTACTGTCTGGCATGTCTTCTCCCTGCAGCCTGGACAGCCCCAGAACTAAACGGTGCGGTAATCTGAGTACCTGCGTGCTGGGCACTTACTCCCAGGATCTGAACAACTTTCATACGTTCTCTGGCATTGACTTTGGACCTGAAACACCTGGCAAGAAAAGGGACATGGTCAGCGGCTTTGAGAGTGGCAGCTCCTCCTACTTTGGGGTGCCCCAGGATGTGAACTGAACTCCTCCCACTCCTTCATGATTTCCTTTCTTGCTTCCACTTATGAATTTGATGCATGTGGGTCCTTCTCCGATTGCTATCCAAGCTGGTATTGGTAGTTTTGCTTATGACAGAGAATGCCAGGGATATCAGGATGGAAGGAGAAAGAGCAGGACTCATAGACCAGATTAAAGATCAGAGCAAACAAGGACAGTTTCTCAAGACTCTGGAGGGTTTTGTGGCAGAGCCCTTCAATTCCCGCTTCTAAATTTACTAAAATAAGCACTTCCTTCATGCTTTGTGGGGTGAATAAACCTATTTTTCTAAAAGGACCTGAGCTATAATGGTCATTTCTCTGGCCAACATTCAAGGCTTGAGGTGCCTAGGGACTATGCTTAGAAGTAGCTTTAGCCTTAGGGTAGCTGGACCCAGGGCTTGCTGGGTGGTCCCTGTGAACCAGCTCAAGCATTGAGAATGGCGTGCTATGGAGCAGGTAAGCACCTCTGGGAGAGGATGCTGCAAACTGTTCTCTGGACCTTCTTCCAGGTAAGACTCTAGGGATTTTCATTTCCCTTGGAAACTTGGGTGGAGCTTGTGGCTGGGGTATGACCTTTATATACTCCATATGTGTCTTGGGATGGGGCTGGGTCTTTGCTGACCACTCCTTCCTGGTCCCACAGGGACTGCATAAGGGACATTTCCACTCTAGTAAGTGGGAAGTTAGGGGGTGGACACAGGGTTTCACCATGTGTCATGGCTTGGTACTCGTTTTTTTTTTCTCATAGTCTTTGGGAAGGACTTGTAGCAAAGCCTGCCAGGCAATTTCCCCTAACAACTTTAATAATTGTGTTTAGGAGAAACACTCATTGTTAAGTGGTGTGTCGGAGAGCTGAAGTTCTCTTTATGTTGGTCCCATGCAGCAGGCTCCTCCCTACCAGCTGCACACTTAACAGGCCTTCTCTTCTTTCTCTACCTGCAAATCAGTGTGACTGCCCAGAAGAGAGCATGCAACACTGCCACCTGTGTGACCCATCGGCTGGCAGGCTTGCTGAGCAGGTCAGGGGGCATGGTGAAGAGCAACTTCGTGCCCACTGACGTGGGCTCCAATGCCTTTGGCCGGCGCCGCAGGGATCTTCAGGCCTGAGCAGCTGAGGGGCTCCAGGAAGAAGGTGACTGCCTTTGTATCTAGAGAAGGAAGGGGAGGGGCTTTAGAGATTAAGATTCACATTTTGAAGCCCACTGATCTTTAGATTCATTTTCTTCAGTTATGTTCTTCCTCCTGAGGTAGAGTGCCTTCTAGAACTAAGCTTGAGTTTGGAATATTAGGGGTGGCTTCAGAGATGTAGTGTCCTCTTTCTGAGAAGAGAAATTAAAAAATGCTTGGTGGATTCAGAAAGGGAGGTACCTGCAAACCTTAACAGGGTTCACACCTCATTGATGAGTCCAGACTCAGAAAGAGCTCAACCCTTGATCATTGTTCACAGATCCAGGCCAGAGGGCTGTAATCGTTATATATTATGTACATACTATACTGCATACATACCACACACACACGTACATATATAGGTACATTATGAAGAGCTCTGGTGGCACGCTATTGGCTGCTAACACAAAGGTTGGTGGTTCAAACCCACCAGCTGTTAAAGATTTACAGCCTTGGACACCTATCTATATACTACTCCTATTAAGAGTTGAATTGGTTTTATTTCCTTTTACCATGCAAAACCTGCCTGGATCTCATATGCATCATTCATCAATACTGTTTAAGGAAGCACATCTGTAAATAGATGTTCTTCTCCGTAATAATTGTGATTATGCCACCACTCTTCTCTTCCCTCCTTCCTGCCTCCTCCTCCTCTTCTTTTTGGTCCCAGGCTACCGTGAAGCTGAACTCACCACTTCTGTTAATTTTAGTGACAACAACTTGGTGAGAAGGCCCTGAGAAGAAACATGTGTTTGCATCCTACTAGATACTGAGGAAAAAAAGCACCTTTGTCACTTGAAAGGAATGAAACTGAATGCAAACTGAGTGAATACCATATTTGTTGTGCATCATTTTTGTATTTGCTTCTCTGTCTGGTAAATGTGATGGCATCTCTCATCCGCTTATCTGGTGGCAAAAATTGGTTCTTTGAGAGCTATCGTGTTGATTTTAGCAGCTCTGCTAAGCCTTAGGGGGACATGAAATCACCACCTCTTGTGGCCCTTGGGGACATAGGGTAATGGTTATGCTGTGCCTTGTTATCTAAGAACATGGTTGTATAATTTCTTTAAGGAAATGTCAATATTGTGCCATTTGTGAACTTCATCGAGATTAAAAACATATTTTGGATACACTTGGTTCAAGTCCCTGGTGGTTCATTCAATTTTTTTTTTTTTAAACCCAAGGAGGGGTCGCTATGAGTCAGGTCTGACTGTAACAACAACATGATAGTAATGGTGATAATTTATTGAGTGCACCAGATGATTTTCTAAGGTGCTTTATGTCCATTAATTCATTTAATCTTTACAAAAACCTCAGAGGCAGATATTGTTATTTCCACTTAACATCTGAGAAAACTGAGGCATGAAGAAGTGAAGTCCTAGGCCACATTGATAGGCAGTGACAGAGTCAGTACCTTAACCCAGGTGTTTGTTTTCAGAACTCACTGTTGAAACCAGCACATTATGTGCTTCTCAACAGTGGTTCCTGATGCTTTCCAAACACGTGTGAGCCTTTCTTAGACCCAGCTGCCTTATACACTAGGCTCTCAGATTTTGGAGACACATGGAAAAACTTAAGCATTCAAACAACCTAGTATTTATGTAATATAATGAGCCACTTATACTCATTACTTGACTTCTGCAATGATCAGTTTATGGTCAATGTTACATTTATACTCCATCTTCCCACCTTCCTGATACATAGCCCTTCCCATACATCAATATACATCCACGAATATTTCACAATATATTTCTAAATGGGAAAGGCTCTATTAACATAACAAAAATATCTAAAATACATTGACAATTTCTTAATTCTTTTATATAATAACACATTCAGTCATAGTTCAGATGTCCCAGTTGTCTTATATGCATACAAAAAAAAATCACAGTTCCAGTTAGGTCCCCATATTGCTATTAGTTGATATCTTTTAAGTCCTTCTAATTTGGAGATTTCTCCTACAACTTTTTTTTTTCCCCCATTGCAATTTATCTGTTGGGCAGACTAGGGTTTTTTTGTCCAAATAGTTTCCCACATTCTAATTTTGATGATTGCATGGCTGTGATTAGGTTGAACATGTTCCTATATCTTCTGTATTTCCTATGAATTGGCAGTAAGTAAGGGGGGAGAGAAGTAGGAGATGAGGTCAGAGAAGTAGTGAAGACAGATCAGGTAGGACTTTGTAGGGCACAGGAAAGACTTTGCTTTTTTATCAGTCAAGTTCTAGTCAGGAAAACAGAAACCACATCACTAATTTTAACAAGAAGAATTTAATGTAAGGAGCTGGCTAAACAGTTATTAGAGTACTGAAAAGGCAAAGGGGAGCAAGAGGTAGCATAGAGATAGAAGCTATAGGAAGCAGCTACCATCTGCAACTCCGGGGGAACAAAGGAAAATGGTGAGATGATTACAATCTAGACGTTTAGAGAAGGCTTTTCAGAGCACAGAGAAAGGGCTCACCTGAGGGGACTCAAGGAGGCTAGTCTCCAAACACCCCACTACCATAGAGTCTATTCCAACTCACAGTGACCCCCAATGGATTTCCGAGGCAGTAAATCTTTAGATTACCCCATCTTCCTTCTTCAGAGTGGCTGGTGGGTTTGAACCACCAACCTTCTGGTTAGCAGTCAAATGCCTTAGGCATTGTGCCACCAGAACTCCTCAAAAGCTTGTTGTTGTTGTTGTTATGTGCCGTCGAGTCAGCCCCGACTCATAGTGACCCCTCCTTGGGTTTCTGAGGTGGTATCACTATGGAAGTAGATTGCCAACCTTCCTTCCGAGGAGTGGCTGGTGGGTTTGAACTGCCAGCCTTCTGGTTAGCAGTCAAGTGCCTTAGGCACTACTCTACCAGAGCTCCTCCTCAAAACCTAGTCTCCCCCAAAAACCAAACTCACTGCCATTGACTCTATTCTGACTCATAGCGACCCCTCTTTGAGTTTCTGAGGTGGTAAATCTTTATGGCCATAGATTGCCCAGTCTTCCTTTCATGGAATGGCTGGTGGGTTTGAACCACCAGCCTTCTGGTTAAATGCCTTAGGTACTATGCCACCAGAGCCCCTTCAAGGCTAGTCTAGGAATATGGCAAAACAAAACAAAACCAACTTCACTGCCAGAGCAGAAAAATATTGTAGGACACATTGACAGAAACAAACCAAAATTGGAAGGAGCAAGTCTTTTCTTTGCATTTGGCAGCCCTAATTGGTCGAGCCTAATGGAGAGCATCTGGTAAAGGAAAATGTGGTTTGCAGAGCCCAGCCCAATGTCTTTCTATCCCCACTTGAAAATGTGTATAAAAATAATACATTTTTGGTTTTACATATAAATAAATCAACTAGTAACAAGTAACAGAAATTATATGGCACAATGTACTTTTTATGCATGTTGTTTTATACAACTTGCTAAAATAGAATAGTGAAGCCAGAAAAGGAATATATATAACTTTTTATTGTAATTTGGGTGCAAATTTACAGAGTAAATTGATTTTCCATTCAATAATTCATACATATTACGTTTTGTGACATTGATGGCAATCCCCACAACGTAATAGCACTCTTCTCATTTCCTTCCTGTGTGCACCATTTCCACTTCTCCTTCTTTCCTACCCCTTCCTGCCTTCTGAGCTTTATCTCTAGGCAAAATGCTGCTCTTCTGATCTCATATGGTTGATTGTGCTAAGGATTGTACCTCCTTGGTGTTATTGTTCACCTTATAGGCCTGTCTGTTGTTTGGCTGAAAGTTGAGATCAGTTCCAGGCTTGAAGGGGGCCTAAGGGCCATAGTCTTGGGGATTCCATCAATCTTTCATCAGACCAGTAAGTTTGGTCTTTTTTTTTTTTTTTTCTCTCTTTTTAATGATTTTGAGTTTTGTTCCACAGTTTTCTTCTACTCTATGTAGGACTTCCTTTTGTGATCCCCTTCAAAGTGGTCTGTTCAACAGCAGTCATCTGTTTTATGTTTTTTCCCCCACATTTTCTCCCAATCTATCCAGAGCCTTCTGATATGATTACTTTCAGAGTGGTCAGTAGTGGTAAGTGGGTATACCATCTAGTTCTTCTGATCTCAGGGTCTTGGAGGCTGAAGTCTGTGTGCCCCATTAGCCCTCTGGACTAATTATTTCCACGTGTTTTCGATTTTCTTTGTTTTTCTTTGCTCTGTATATAGAGAGACCAATAGTTTCACCTTAGATGACCACTCACATGCTTTTAAGATCCCAGTTGCTATTACCAAAGTAGCAGGTAAAACATTGTCTTTGTGTTATGCCAGTTGAACTTGATGTTCCCTGAGACTATGGTCCTGATACTCCAGGGCCAGCAACTCATTCCCTCAAGGTGTTTGGTTATGGCTAAGAAGTTTGCATAACTTTGCCCCCTGTATGCTCTACTATATTCCTGGATATATTTGCAGCACCTGTAAATGCATATGTAGAAACATCCTTTGTCAAACCTATATATACCAGCCACTCCTCGGAAGGAAGGTTGGGCAATGCTACTTCTGTAATGATACTGCCTCGGAAACCCAGGGAGGGGTCGCTATGAGTAGGGGCCGACTCGACGGCACATAACAACAACAACAACAACAACATATATATTCATGGGTGTGGTCCCATTCACCTCCCCACATCTGTTCAGCTTGTTATCTATGTATTCATTTGTAAAAAAACCCAAAAAACAAACTTACTGCCCTTGAGTCACATCCAACTCATAGCAAACCCTCCTTGGGTTTCTGAGGCAGTATCTCTACAGAAGTAGATGACCCAATCTTCCTTCTGAGGAGTGGCTGGTGGGTTTGAATCACCAGCTTTCTGGTTAGCAGTCAAATGCCTTAGACACTACACCACCAGAACTCCCAAAGAAGGGGGTACATATGTGTAAAGAACCAGAGGCTGTAAGAATGCTTCTTTAACAATGCAAAAACCAAAAAAACCCAAACCCACTGCTGTGG